CCGCCTGATCGCGCTTCCCCCCCGCGATTCCTCCCCCTTTCCCACCCGTCTCTCTTTCCCCCCTGCATCGCGCCTCCCCTGCTTCCCAGCGCGATCTGCCTCCCCTCTCTTCCCACGCTCCTCCCCCGCTTATCGTGCGCCCGCCTGCACATGCGCACCAGGGCCTGGCAGGAGCGGCACACCAGTTAGAAGATAACGCAAGTCTCCTAAGATTAGCTCGACGAGAACAGCAATCTCGTTTGGAGCAAAAGGACAAGAGCTCATTTGATTTTGCTTTCCAGTACGAATACAAACTGTGAGAGCTTCCCCTATCGATCCTTCAGAGTTTCGGGACTTCAAGCATTAGGGGTCAGAAAAGTGTGAAGTTACCACACGGTAAACTGATTCGTGGCCGCTATCATCATCATCATCATCATCTTCATCATCATCATCATCAAGATCATCATAGCCATTACTATCAAGGATCATCATCATCACGCGCAATTGATCTGAAGACCTTCGTCGACTAGGAGGAAGGACATTCACTGCTCCCGGCCCACCGGGAGCGCGGTATTGTCAATCTATCTCTCTATTACTAATCCCCTCCCTTCTTCTCGCTGATTTCTCTCAAAGATCTCATCATTTTCCTCTTCTTTTATCTCCTCCCCATCTCCCCTTTTCTCCTCTAACCCCCCGCTTAATCAAGCGCATCACCCAAAATTCCTAATGCGCATGAYGCATATTCTCTCTTTCAGGGTTTGTTTGACAATGCTGTCCATCCTGTCATGCGGAATTTTGATCTAATTCAATAGAATTAATCTTCATTTCCTTCCCTCCTAACGTCGTGAGCGGAACTAATTCCGGCGTTTTTGTTCAAAAGTTACGTGAAATTCTTTATTATACCAAATCCTTTTCTTAATTCAATTTAAAATTGGATTTTATTTCAGAAATTGGTGAGATAAATTTCGGAATGTTGAACTTCCTCCTAGTTTCTATCCCCCGCAAAATTCCGAAATTCTACAATTCTTTCGGAAATTCCTTTGAAATTCTTTTAAAATTTCTTTGAAATTCATTTTATTCTTGAAACAAGTCAAGAAATTTTATTCATTTGATCTAGACAATCCTGGAATTTCTCTCAACTTACTTTAGGCAGTTATCACTAATTCTTTCTGAAATTTCATCGTAAATTCTTAATTTAGGAATTACTTTTCTGCTTTTATTTTCAAATTGCCTTTGAAACTCTTTTAATTCCGAAAATACGTTGAGTAATTTTCCATTTTATTTCAAAAATTTTCCTATCAACTCATCTTTACATCTCTCATCATCTCCTCGAACTTTCGAAAATTTTTACGACTATTTTTGAAATTCTTTGAATTTTGCTTAAATTTCTCCTAAGTCCCAAAATTACGTCCAAATATTTTCGGAATTTTATTTTGAATTCGTGATTGTTTTAGGCATGCTCCCGTCTACACCCCAGACTATCCTCTGAAAATTTCCTCTCATTGTCTTCCCCAAATTGGAAATTTTCCATTTTTTTTCCTGAATCCGACTTTGAATTTCCTTGATTTAATTTTGGAAGTTCGTCAGACCTCATTTATACTCGCTCTCCTATCGCAGTTCCTTACTCCTCTTTCTGTGTACCAACCTGGCTTCCCGAGACATCCATCAACRCGCACTCCAAAATCGCGCTCGGGACGCTCGCGCCGCAAACCGACTCGCTCGCTTTGACGCACCGATTGCTGCCACTGAGCGCCCCCCCCGCCCCAGTTCTCCCCCCTCACCTTCTCCATCCCTTGACCACATGCAGACTACCGAATTTGCGAGCCCCTTCCGCTCCACCAGCAAAGGACTCGCGTTCCTAGCTCACGAGCCCACATCAGACCCAATGGTCATCCCTATGGCAACCAGTTCGGGTCSAGCTTCCCAGTCGGATCCCATAGTGGACCTCCTGGCCAGACTCGAGGCCAAAATCACGGCCCTCCATACCGAATTTTCATCCCTGTCATCCCTCGTGTCACAGTTGGAGCCCCCTACCAGTTCACCCCCTGCCCCTCCCCTCTCATCTGCATCTTTGCCAGCTTCCTCTCCTTCTTCGGCA